CCTGATGGGCGGTCAAACCATTTGGTAAGAGGCGGTATATTTGGTGTGGCGGTGGAGGTTTCCCCCCCGTTTGCTCTACTCTTGAATACCATCTTTCTAAGTTCACCTATCAGGGACCCTCAAGGACCATTGTTTTTTCCTTTCGTTTGCATTATCTGATTAGACTGATGCTGATGCACAGTGCCTAAGGCTGGCCATACATTAAACAACTTTCTTGAGATTTTTGGTTTAGATTTACCAAAAACCATAAAATAGGAGGTCAAACTTAAACACTTTCAATTGTATCCAATTGCCTAATTGGATACAATTAAAAGTGTTTAGGTTTGACCTCCTATTATATGGTTTTTGGCCCCTACACTACATAGTTGAGGGTAAATCTAAAGGAAATTGGGCAGAAAATTGTAAGCCTAAGTGAGTTTAATTTCCACCGTAATCAGCCATACAACCCCTGTCATTAATATGTGTTCCGTTTTAAAGGGGTGAGGTGGCAACCCAAGTAACCGGTCGTCACAAGAACCAAAAATCTGAAGGAACGTATATTGCAGCCCAATGACTTTAAAAGCTCACAGCCGCCATATGATCATTGTGTATTGGATGGGGAGAGATTGGAGCTTTACAGAGAGATAAGACACAAAGCTAAAGCACCGGAATAAAGATACTTATTTTCCCAAAAAAGTGGCAGTTATTGTCAGCGAGTCCAGGGAAATTTGAAAATGACAGTCAGGCTGCTAAAATACAGCTACCTATCCTTTGGTAAAGCCTTGTGAATGGAGCCCATTGTGCGCTCTGCTCTGGATGACAGCGGCGAGCATCAATTCCTTTCGTTTCCTCTTCCGTAACGCTTTGTACAGATGTAAGCCGTTGCCCAAGCCTGTCATTTACAGGATTTGTGTATTTTCAATGTTCCTTTTGAATCCGCATAAAAGGACCTCTCTCTGCTCTACAGTATTTTTCTTTTTTTTTCTTTTTCTTTTTTAATTTTGACTTTGGTTCGTGCCGACCTCGGGTTCCCATTCCTTTGTGTTACCATAGCTGGCTTGATAGCTCCACAAATGGCCCAAAATTGAATAACGAGGTTCCTTCCTCCCGTAGACTGCAAGGGAGAAGCTGCGGTGATATGTTTCTGAGAAGTAGGAGAAGCAGATTTCGGAAGTCCTTCCGTAGGTTTTCTTTTAACGACAATCAAATAATAACTTTTTGAGGGGATGTATAATCACACGTGTAAAGGAGATATGCAGTGATACTCTTCTCAATACGCTGTAATGTTTTAAAATGATTGTTTGCATGCGTGACCTTCAGTAGGAGACACTGTATGGAAAACGTAGGTGGATTCTTCTCTGAATGATGGCATTCTGGTGTCTCCAGTGAATGGTTCTGTTAATACTCCATCATACAAAGAGACAACTGGGATATTCCAAGTTTGTGGTAACAAGTTCGGGAAAACTGTCTTCTCTTCCACCAAGACTGTGCCCCTATCAGGAAACTAGTAGAGCTAATGCTGATTCTTCCACAGCTAATGCTCAGGGCCGTGGATAAGGGGGGTACCACCAGTCCTCCTGTATGGGGCCCAGGCTAGCAGGGGGCCCAGGCAGTTGGTGAATCAGAGTTGGGCAATGAGGGTTGTTCAACACGGCAAGGGAGCAATTACTGGAACCAATCCCCTGTATATCCCTATACACTACCCAATGCTTCTCCAGGTACGGGGGAGCTTGTGTCTTGAGCAGGGCTGTGGATTCCCTGTGTGCCCCCACCCCCACAGTGCTTCTGGATTCCCTCCCCTACTTCCCACCGGCAGCTGCAAGCACACAACAAGATCCTTCAGGATGGAGAGCAGGGGAAGGGTGCAGTAAATTTGTCACATTTACCAGAATCTTTCTTTCCTGAACGAACACAATGAGTAATCAGTACCGATCACTCACTGTGTTCATTCATAACTGAAGCCTGACAAACTGTATTTTTTTGGGGGGGGGGGATTGCCCTGACAGGTTGGCTGTATGGAGCCCCGTGGTTTCTGACAGCAGCCCTGCTACTGTCAGGGACCATTGCGATGCATGGGTCTACACATGCGTAGGCATCTGTCAAGACGTACAGGTAGCAGGGCACTAGGACCCAGGCGCATCCATCGTCTTGACAGTACTAGGCAGGCACTGGGACCTAGGCGGCGACAGTCAGGTGCAGGGTGGGCTACTTAAGCCAGCCCTGCACAGATGCTTGTTGCCGAATGGTCTTTTGTATCCTGTTACCTATGTGTGAGTACTTCTGATTTGGATTGTCTGACCTTGTTGCCTTCTCCTGTCCTGACCCCTTGGCTTGCCTGACTCTGCTCCTGGATGTTCCCTTATAGATCTGATCTTTTGGTATTGACCCTGCGTGTGACCCGACTATCCTTTGCATATCGTCTTGTACCTCACCGATCCGCTAGTTACCGACCCAACTTGTTTGACTCTGACTTTGCTCATCCATCCATCCCTCAGGGATCCCTGGGCTCCCTCACATCAGACTCTTAACCCGCTGGAGCCCTTGGCAGACTCCTCTACCTCTGGTAGAGATACGTAGCATCTGCGACCTGGTCCCGGATCGCTCCAAGTCCATCCCCACCATCAGGGACCCTGGTGAACAAGTGCTCCGGTACTTAGACTCCGCACTCTGGGGAGGCTCTATCAGGGGACTGATAGAGGTACTGTCAGGCGGTCCGTTACAGCTACTGTTACTTCTACAACTAATGCTCATTCCCAAGCAGCCAATGCTCACTCCCAAGCAGCCAATGCTCACTCCCAAGCAGCCAATGCTCACTCCCAAGCAGCCAATGCTCATTCCCAAGCAGCCAATGCTCATTCCCAAGCAGCCAATGCTCATTCCCAAGCAGCCAATGCTCATTCCCAAGCAGCCAATGCTCACTCCCAAGCAGCCAATGCTCACTCCCAAGCAGCCAATGCTCACTCCCATGCAGCCAATGCTCACACTCCCATGCAGCCAATGCTCACTCCAAGCAGCCAATGCTCACTCCCAAGCAGCCAATGCTCACTCCCATGCATCCTCCTGTAGGGGTTGGGGAAAGACCTGGCAACCTACCCTGTAAAATAATTGCTAAGAGAATTCATGGAAAAAGTCGATTACGAGTGACGGTCCATGCAATCGCCAAGGGTTGGATACAACTGAATGGATAGATAGACATTCCTAATATCACCTCCAATTTAACCCCTTGCCTACCGGGCACTTCCCCCCCCCTTCCTGCCCAGGCCAATTTTCAGCTTTCAGCGCTGTCGCACTTTGAATGACAATTGCGCGGTCATGCTACATTGTACCCAGAGGACATTTTTTATAATTTTTTCACACAAATAGAGCTTTCTTTGGTGGTATGTACTCCCCGCTGGGGGTTTCATTTTTTGCGCTATAAACAAAAAAGGAGCACAAAATGTGAAAGAAAAAAAAAGTTTTTCTTTGTTTCTATTATAAAATTTTGCAAACAGGTAATTTTTCTCCTTCACTGATGTGCGTTGATGAGGTGGCACAGATAGGCGGAACTGAAGGGTTGCACTGACTGACGGCACTGGTAGTAGTTGTATAGTAGTGGTACATAGTTGATCCAAGCTGGAACAATGGAACTACAATATTGCCCCAAGTATTGGGCCGCCTGCCTTTCCATGCACATTAGTCCGTAGGGTTCAATATTGAGTTGGCCCCACCCTTTCCACACACATGACCTTTAATGCTCCCCCAGTCTTAGTCCGTAGGGTTCAATATTGAGTTGGCCCCGCCCTTTCCACACACATGACCTTTAATGCTCCCCCAGTCTTAGTCCGTCCGTAGGGTTCAATATTGAGTTGGCCCCGCCCTTTCCACGTACATGACCTTTAATGGCCCCCCAGTCTTAGTCCATAGGGTTCAATATTGAGTTGGCCCCGCCCTTTGCAGCTATAACAGCTTCAACTCTTCTGGGAAGGCCGTCCACAAGGTTTAGGAGGGTGTCTATGGGAAGGTTGGACCATTCTTCCAGAAGCACATTTGTCAGGTCAGGCACTGATGTCGGGGGGGAGGAGGCCTGGCTCGCAGTCTCCGCTCTAATTCATCCCAAAGGTGTTCTATGGGGTTGAGGTCAGGACTCTGTGCAGGACAGTCAAGTTCCTCCACCCCAAACTGGCTCCTCCATGTCTTTATGGACCTTGCTTTGTGCACTGGTGTGCAGTCATGTTGGAACAGGGAGAGGCCATCCCCAAACTCTTCCCACAAAGTTGGGAGCATGAAATTGTCCAAAATGTCGCCTTAAGCGTCCCCTTCACTGGAACTAGGGGCCAAGTCCAACCCCTGAAAAAACAACCCTACACCATAATCCCCCCTCCACCAAACTTTACACTTGGCACAATGCAGTCAGGCGAGTACCGTTCTCCTGGCCACCACCAAACCCAGACATGTCCATCAGATTTCCAGACAGAGAAGCCTGATTGGTCCCTCCAGAGAATACGTCTCCTCTGCTCTAGAGTCCAGTGGCGGCGTGCTTTACACCACGGCATCCGACGCTTCGCATTGCACTTGGTGATGGAAGGCTTGGATGCAGCTGCTCGGCCATGGAAACCCATTCCATGAAGCTCTCTACGCACTGTTGTTGGGCTCATCTGAAGGCCACACCAAGTTTGGAGGTCTTTAGCTATTGACTCTGCAGACAGTTGGTGACTTCTGCGCACTGTGCGCTTCAGCATGCGCTGACCCCGCCCTGTCATGTGACGTGGCCTACCACTTGGTGGCTGAGTGGCTGTTGTTCCCAGTGGCTTCCACTTTGTTATAATCCCACTAACAGTTGAGCGTGGAATATTTAGTAGCCAGGAAATGTCACGGATGGACTTATTGCACAGGTGGCCACCTATCACGGGACCACGCTTGGAGTCACTGAGCTCCTGAGAGCGACCCATTCTTTCACCAATGTTTGTAGAAGCCGTCTGCATGCCTAGGGGCCTGATTGTATACACCTGTGTCCATGGAGGGGATTGGAGCACCTGAATCACATGATATGGAGGGGATTGGAACACCTGAATCACATGATATGGAGGGGATTGGAACACCTGAATCACATGATTACGAGGGGATTGGAACACCTGAGTCACATGATTGGGAGGGGATTGGAACACCTGAATCACATGATTAGGAGGGGATTGGAACACCTGAATCACATGATTGGAAGGGGATTGGAACACCTGAATCACATGATATGGAGGGGATTGGAACACCTGAATAACATGATTACGAGGGGATTGGAACACCTGAATCACATGATTAGGAGGGGATTGGAACACCTGAATCCAATGATATGGAGGGGATTGGAACACCTGAATAACATGATTACGAGGGGATTGGAACACCTGAATCACATGATTAGGAGGGGATTGGAACACCTGAATCCAATGATATGGAGGGGATTGGAACACCTGAATCACATGATTGGGAGGGGATTGGAACACCTGAATCACATGATTAGGAGGGTGGGGCCAATACTTCTGGCAATATAGTGTATATATAAAATCCATCCCTGGAATTCCTCTTCAGCCCCCCAGGCCCGTTACTTCAGCCTTCTCACTAACAGTTAATAGGGAAGGTACGGCCGGCCGATGCCGAATGCGCTTTCCTGGCGGAGATGAATCCGCGGCTCGCTGGGTTCACACGCTGACAGGCTGAAAAATGACATTGACTTTGAAGCGGGGGGGCGAGCGGTTTAAATGTCAATGTTCTGCGTTGGTGACCTCGCACACTTTGTCTCGCTGGGCCTCGGGCGCAGAAATCACAGGTTGTAAGCGTGTCAGGACGGGGCCGCGTTACTGTAAATATCCAGGTACAAGGCCGCTCATCGCTCTTCTTATCGAATTTATGGCGTTTGTGCCGGAGAGAGAAGAAGGGGAAAAAAAAAAAATTGCTGTACAATATAAAGTCATTAAGTCGCGTTCTGCCCCAAGTCACCGCGAAAGGCGCAGCGGAGAAGATCAGGAGACGTGACTTTATTTACGCCACGGGGCCGGCCGTGACTGATTTACATCACGCGTGCGTGTGACAGCGCGGCCGTCCGACCGCTTCGACAACAGGCTGAGGGGCATTCTGCAACTTTTTTTTTTGCAAAGTCTGATGTGTTTGGTGGAAACAGGCGGCGATCGAATCCGCATTACCGCGCGCCCTCTCCCGTCCCTGGTGCCGAAGAAGAGGCGGTTTATTTTCCGGGAGTGAACTAGAAGAGCCCGGTGGTAATGAAAAATGGAATCTTTACGCATTTCGCTTTCAATACGAGTTTCAGTAAAGGTACAAGAAAAATGGAGTGTATACGCATTTCCCGCGAACCGTGAATTCAGATGGAGACCGCGAGTGTCTCTTCGGTAAGACTGTAGGACCGGGGCGGGCAATTTATTTTCCACATAAGAAGCTGGCAATGTTGTTGAGGGCCAGATACGTGCGGCCGCAATGTGACGTCACTGCCACAGCAAGGCGCAAATTAAGGCTGACAGGTGGGGGTGTAGGCTCCGCCCCTTTACCTGTGGGGTGGATAGCGGAAGCTGGCAACATCTCCCCACATGCCCTCACCTCCCAGTCACTTGAGGGGTGTCCCCACCCCTCCTACATGGCCAAAGCCACTTGGAAATGGTGGAAGTGCGACAGACGCCATCTTGGTGCCTGGCAGACCAACAGGGGTGGAAGCATGGCCGCCATCTTGTTGACTGGCCAACGTGGATCTAGGGATTTCTAGTTTCCTTGTGACCTCACGCGGGCCGGACAGAGACAGTCCAAGCGTGTGGCCGGGGGGGGGCAGGGGCAGGGAGGGGGCATTGAAATTCATTACTATTGTGATTAGAAGATTCAGATACATCCGAATCTCCCAAGTCCGCACATTTTTTTTGATTGGTAACAAAATGAATCGCACACGTCTAAAGCCCAGCTGCCGCTACAAAGTATCCCCTTCTGATACTATAAACAATATTAATACAATGTTTCTAAAATATATACATTCCTAAAGTGGCTGTACACCTCAGACATGAAATATGAACCAAGCATATCCCTCTATATGTGTGTTCTGGTCTCAGTCCAGAGCACTGAGTGTCATTTCTGTCTGCTGCCTCCTTCCTCTGCTATCAGCACTTCTGACAAGTTTTCCTGACACCAAGAGATAAATGGTGACAGGGGTGGGAGCTGCCACTGACTGACAGCCTCAGCTCCATCAGCTGTGTGGAGGGTGGGGTTTCTCTTCCCTCCAATCAGCTCTCAGAGCTCTGCTCACCGATGTAACTTTACCTATCCACCCCCTTTTGTTCTGAATGCTCAGACAACCTTTATAAACTCAGCATTTTGAATGGATGTAGGGAAGAGAAGGCTGCAGATAGATAGGTACAACTTACCCTTCCCTCCAATCAGCTCTCAGAGCTCTTCTCACTGAGCTCTACAGAGTGTAATTTCAGCTCCTCCCCCCCAGAAGCTAGTGGGCAGAAGAGGTGGAGACCTAATCTGCATGTTTATGGGAGTGTAGCCAATCACAGGTTTGGAGGCCCTGGTAGGTGGTGGACCAGCCCATAAATATGGGGGAGTCGGGTGGAAGATGGAGTGCTGAGGAGAGTGTCAGTGGCCTGGCATTCCTAGCTCTAGAGGGGGGCGGCCTGCCTGATGGGCTCAGGCTGGCTCAGGAGGGTCCATTCAGCATGAACAGGATCAAGGCCTGGGAGCAGTGGGATCAAGGAGGACAGAGTGAGGACATCACCACACCCAGGGAAGTTATCCCTGTGCATTGATTCAGCAAAATTGGGCATCCCCAGGGCATTTTGTTCACCAGGAATGTGGGGGAATGGGGGGGAACGCAATTCCGGCACCTCCAGCACTGAAATGTGTGTAATGGCAAGGGGTGCTGGGGTGTGCTGGATGGTCTATTGTTGCTGGGGGATCGATTGCTGCTGGTGGGGATCTTTTTTTTGCATGAGTTTCTATTGTTGATGGGGAGGTCTGTTGTTGCTGGGGGGGAGGTCATTTGTTTGCTTGGGGGGGATCTACTGTTGAGGGAGAGCTCTATTGTTGCGGTTGCTGGGAGATCTGTTGTTTCTGCTGGGGGTCGATTGTTGCTGGGGTGGTATTTTGTGTTGGGGTGTCCACTGTTGCTGGGGGAAAGCTATTGTCGTGTGTGTGGGGGGGTCTATTACTGCTGGGAGGGGATCTACTGTTGCTGGGCTGGGGGTCTATTGTTCCTCACTGCAGGGGATCTATTTTACTGTCTTTCTTGTTATTAATAAATTCAATACAAATTACTTAGTAGCACAAAATGATACTTCATTCTGTATTCTCTAAAAGGGGTAATACTGGGAGGTGGGTAGGGAGTGGGACCAAGGGACGGTGCTCAGAGGTGGGTAGGGGGGTAGAACCAAGGGACGGTGCTCAGAGGTGGGTAGGGAGTGGGACCAAGGGACGGTGCTCAGAGGTGGGTAGGGAGTGGGACCAAGGGACGGTGCTCAGAGGTGGGTAGGGGGTGGAACCAAGGGACGGTGCTCAGAGGTGGGTAGGAGGCGGAACCAAGGGACAGTGCTCAGAGGTGGGTAGGGGTAGAACCAAGGGACGGTGCTCAGAGGTGGGTAGGAGGTGGAACCAAGGGACAGTACTCAGAGGTGGGTAGGTGTTGGAATCAAGGGATGGTGCTCAGAGGTGGGTAGGGGGTAGAAACAAGGGACGGTGCTCAGAGGTGGGTAGGGGGTGAAACTAAGGACGGTGCTCAGAGGTGGGTAGGGGGCGGAACCAAGAGACGGTGCTCAGAGGTGGGTAGGGGGCGGAACCAAGAGACGGTGCTCAGAGATGGGTAGGGGTGGGACCAAGGGATGGTGCTCAGAGGTTGGTAGGGGGTGGAACCAAGGGACGGTGCTCAGAGGTGGGTAGGGGGTGGGACCAAGAGACGGTGCTCAGAGGTGGGTAGGGGGTGGGACCAAGGGACGGCGCTCAGAGATGGGTAGGGGTGGACCAAGGGACGGCGCTCAGAGGTGGGCAGGGGGTGAACTAAGGGACGGTGCTCAGAGATGGGTAGGGGGTGGAACCAAGGGACGGCGCTCAGAGATGGGTAGGGGGGGGTGGGACCAAGGGACGGCGCTCAGAGATGGGTAGGGGGTGGGAGCAAGGGACGGCGCTCAGAGATGGGTAGGGGGTGGGACCAAGGGACGGCGCTCAGAGATGGGTAGGGGGTGGGAACCAAGGGACGGTGGTCAGAGGTGGGTAGGGGGTGGAACCAAGAGACGGTGCTCAGAGGTGGGTAGGGGGTGGAACCAAGAGACGGCGCTCAGAGATGGGTAGGGGGTGGAACCAAGAGACGGTGCTCAGAGGTGGGTAGGGGGTGGAACCAAGGGACGGTACTCAGAGGTGGGTAGGGGTGGGACCAAGGGACGGCGCTCAGAGATGGGTAGGGGGTGGGACCAAGGGACGGCGCTCAGAGATGGGTAGGGGGTGGAACCAAGAGACGGTGCTCAGAGGTGGGTAGGGGGTGGAACCAAGGGACGGTACTCAGAGGTGGGTAGGGGGTGGGGGACCAAGGGACGGCGCTCAGAGATGGGTAGGGGGTGGGACCAAGGGATGGCGCTCAGAGATGGGTAGGGGGTGGGACCAAGGGACGGCGCTCAGAGATGGGCAGGGGGTGGAACCAAGGGACGGCGCTCAGAGATGGGTAGGGGGTGGTAACCAAGGGACGGCGCTCAGAGGTGGGCAGGGGGTGGAACTAAGGGACGGCGCTCAGAGGTGGGCAGGGGGTGGAACTAAGGGACGGCGCTCAGAGTGGGTAGGGGGTGGAGACAAGGGGTGATTTAGAAGGGCGGAGTTCCTGCACATATTTTCTGAGAAACAAAGCCCTGGGCATCCCACAATTTCTTTCACCCATCCAGATTACATCCCCCAATAAAATAAAAAAAAAAACAAGCTCCTGGACTGTTCACTGACTGTGGATACAAGTTTGGAAAATGCGCGTTGCCTGGCTGTGCTAAGGGGATCTGGAAACACAGCGGCCCCTCCCCAGGGTAGAGCTACACAAGAAAACACAGAATCCCCCCCCTCCCCCCCGTGTTTCCAACTGAAGATATTCACCTGGAAGAGCGATCAATAATAATCTCCCCCCCCAATGTCACCGGGACGTCGCCTTCCACTTACACCCTAAACCCTCGAATGCCGGGTGTGAAAGGTCTCGGCGTCCAGGCGCTGCGGGTTTTCGGTTTTTCCGGCGCACAAAGCAGAAATTGCTCATTAGCGCGGGGCGGTCGCATTAAAAGGAGCCGCAGAAAATGTGATTATGACATGGCGGCCGCCGGAGCCCCTCCGTTCTCATACAACACAAATGATATCTGACATTTCATTCCGGGCCTGGAGGGGCCAGGCGCAAATTCCTCGCCTGCCGCCGCCCACCGCCGCCATCAATAACCCGAGGCATCGCCGCGACAGATGGAACTCCGCAGTTCATTTCAAGGCTGGCGACCGCGTGCAGACGGCGGTGTCAGAGAGACGCGGG